TTTTTCCTAGAATGATCACAACCTAATCTACGGGATCTCAAATTTTCAGAGTTTTTTCTCAATTCGCCTGAGCGTGAAAAATCGCCAGATTTGGTGCTTGAAAATTGCAGGACTGGACCCACCTGCCACACTGTGCAACGTTAGGGTTTGGACATACAGGCACATTCTGACCTGTCAGCTGCCTGACGTCGGATACACTTCATAAAGAAGCAGTCCCCAAAACCACACAGGGACCTGTACTCCTGCCAACACTGATTGATGCATACCTGTAGCGGCACAAAGCATGAAGAAGAAGAAGCCATACCTCACAAGGCTGCATAGCAAGAAAAAGAAAAAGAAGAAGAAGAAGAAGAAGAAGAAGAACTTGAAGAAGAAGAAGAAGAAGAAGAAGAAGACATCGAAAAAGAAGTTATGCAGCACCGAACTTGCTCTGGGGAGTTTGGGACTGTTCACAAAATGAAGCTCTCTCTCTTTCTGACACACACACACAATTTGGGACTTCTGTCCCTTTATCCCTTAATCGGACTGGCATGGGCCGATCCCCCCATCAAGTGTCTGTGGAGGACTGCCATCGCTATCCGGGTCATCATCACTAATGACACTCTTCTTTCGAGCCGTAGTGTTGCGGCGTTCGTGCTGCGACACAGTCTTCTCGATCGTTTTTTTTTTTGGGGGCCTTTTACGGCCGCGTCGGGGCGCTTTGGGGGACTCCTCCGCTGTTACCTTCCTCTTCCTACCTGCCCTGCTCTTCCAGAGATTGTCATGGTGGAGAGCATCGTTCAATTCAGGGAAAGGAGGCGTGGCGATTTCCTCTGCGGCCTGCGGCTCTTCCTGCTGCTCCTTCCCCCTCTCGCTATTTGCAACTTGTTGGTCGGCATAAGCGGTTATCAGGTAGCTGAAAATTCAAGAATGAAAATTCTGAAGTGAGAGTTTTGGGCAGTCTGAAAATCCTGAATGGTCATGAAGTGGTGAAAGGTCAAAAGACCCTGAAAACCACCTGTTTAGGAAGGCTGCATCCTTAAATGGTGAAGGGTGTCCTGAAGTGGTCAAGTGAGAGTTTTCAGCAGTCTGAAAATCTTGAATGGTCCTGAAGTGGTGAAAGTTCCGAAGACCATGAAAACCACCCTTCTCCACTTGAGGATGCAGCTTGCCTTAACATGTGGTTTTCAGGGTCTTCGGAGTTTTCACCACTTCAGGACCATTCAGGATTTTCATACCTCAATGGTCCTGAAGTGGTGAAAGGTCTGAAGACCTGAAAACCACCTGTTTAGGCAGGTTGCATCTTGAAGTGGTGAAGGATGTCCTGAAGTGGTGATGAAAAATACAACTTTTGTTAACCTTCTCTCCTGGTCGGTGGTCTCTCCCTCCGCTCCCACTTCTTGCTCCACACATGGGCGGGGCCTGCACATGTACACGACAACTGCTGCTTGTTGCTCTCCCGCTGCGTCTGCGGGCTCCCCTTGCTGCTGCTCGCCCTTCTCTATGGCAGGCTGGACATCCCCTTCCATTTCCTTCAAGGCCTCGCCCCCGTGCTTTTCCTGTTGTGCAGCACGCCTCTCCCTCTCCCTGCGGGTAACGATCGCTGCACGACGGGGCTCCTCCTTAGCGACCCGCCTATCCATGAGTTCACGATCCTTGTCCGCCATCTCCTTTGCGCGGGTGGCCTCTTCCTCATCCGGGTCATCGTGGCGGTGCAGCAAAAACTCTACGTCCGTGTCCACTGTATCGACGACTGGTGTAGACTCAACCTCGAGATCCCTATCTTGTCGCCAAGTTCGCCTACCAACATACGTGGTCGCCGGGACTGCAGGCACCGCACCGAGCTCGAAATCGGAGTCCTCATCCTCACTGCAGTCCTCCGATGATGACTCGTTCCGGCACTTCAACTTCCACACCATATCCTCGAGGTCGCTGCTATCACTAGTGTCGGAATCGAGAAGGTTTTTGGGGATCCTGTTTCTTGGAGCCTTCGCCATGTTCCTTTGCCTCATCTCCTCATCCTGTTTCTCAGCAGCATCCTCAGTATCGGTCACCAACGTCGACCCGTCATTCTGTTGTGGCTCCATGATTGGCTCGAAAAACGAACCCCAGACATCAACGAACCAGTTGTCCTTGTGGTGTCGAGCTCGCAGCAACTGCATGTTCCAATGTATGTAGACGAGCTTCTCGAGGGATGCGGGGGACAGACTGTGTCTTCTCTTCGTGTGGATGAAGTCCATGGATGCCCAGTTGCGCTCAGCGGGGGTCGCAATGCTCCACATCCCCATGATCTTGATTGCAATTGCATGAAGGGTTGGGACATCCCCGCCATGTGCTGCCCACCAGGTCGCAGGGTCAAGCCTCTTCACATCGTCCACCGCCGGTTGTTCCCACATGTGCTCATCCTTCCGCTTCTTCATAGCTTTCTCGGGCGTGCACACATTCTCTGTCGCAACCCTCGCGGGCTGCTTTTGAAACTCCATCAGTTCCCCTAGGGGCCCCCCACAAGTCAAAATGTGCCTTGTTGTTCCACTCACCCCCAATCTGCCTCAAGAAGAAGCGCATTGCATTTTGCATCACTGCAACATTCTGATCGAAGAGCCAACGTTCATTCCTCCACTGTGGATCAAGGACGAATGCAGCTGCATAAATTGGCTGCCTCATCATTTGTACGTGGTCACGCTCTGCATGACATCCTCCCGCTCCCTCTTCGTCAGCACCACGTTCGTCAATTTCCGCCCAATCATATCATCGTACTAAACAAGATTGGTGGGAGGAGTTTCTTCTGCGTCCATTCTCTTCAGCAACTGGAATATCGATTTCATGATGTCCACAATCTTCCTCACCTGCGGCCACCATATCTCGGACCTCATTGTGTAGTACACGAGGTCGGATCTCCTACGCAACTTTTGCCCTGACCATCTCAACGCTCTTCACTTTCTAGCCGACTTCCCATCTACCATCTCAACAAGAACATCCTCTCTGTCTGCTAGCCGTTGGAGCATTTGATACACAGATCCGAACCGCACTTTCGCCGCACGAAGTAAGGACAATGAGTCATCGACAGTCATCATCAAGTCGTGCGTGGCATAATGATTCCGGATGAACTTCACGATTGTGTTCGCGGTTTTCACTGTGCCCTTGATCCACGATAGGTTGGCCAAATCCTTGAGAAGGAGACTGCAACAGTGTGCCCCGTAGGGAACCCATGGAATTCTGGCCACTTCCTTGTCCTTGCGCCGTTCTAGGATCAGCGCCGCCTTCTTGTTAAATTCAGCGTGCGTGGCGGTCCCGCACCCCGCTGGGAGCGCTGAACCTCACGGTCGTGTCACGCAGGATGTTTTGTTCAAAAGAACCAGTCACCACTCCGACCGTGCACGCGTGTTTACCTCGCATGACACCCTACGTCAAGTTGGGGCGTCGCGAGGTACAACTTACCTTTACCCAAGAGGTTGTCACCACCCTTAGGTAGGCGTATCCCTGCTGAGCTACCGATCTACATGCGAAGGCTTTTACATGTCTTTGTAGAGGTAGGTCGGCCGAGGGCATTTTCTCGATCGTCGCAACATAGGAATGGGATACTCGCGGTAAGACGCCTAAGACTGCCCCGTTAGTCAAGTCAGGTTCAGGATGTGATTTCCCTATCCTAGACTTCTAGATATTCTGGTTGAATTTTTAGAAGGTCATCTATTCCCGCTTCTGAATCTAAAATATATTACTCTCCTGCCAAAAGAGAACAAGGTATCCATCAAATCATCTTACTACTTAGGGTATTCTATTCTGCTTAACAAGTCACGACTTAACTGATCATCGGATATTACAAAAATTATATAGGACATATAATGAATATAGAGGTATTACCGTCCCACTTTCACAAGTGCTATGTGTCTAAGACTCTTCACGAGATCGAGCCCAATTCAATCCAAACCCACGAACAAAACAGACTTGCACAGAATAATGCAAAGACAATCCACCATGACATGCCATGCACTAACGACGTCAACCATCAATCCACACCTTAGACATTGTCCCTCGCTTCTCAAACCATGTATGACAGCTCTATCTTTCCTGAGATGTAAGCCTAGCCCCCTCACATTTCTCCAAAGGACCCTTGCGAGTGCCTAAGACCATTTAGGCAATGACCACAGGTCACAGTTTTACTGACCACAGGGTATGACTTTAGACGTGAGTATCAAGTCAAGGGGGAAAAGTTGAATCGGCAACGACCAACCTATTATCGAGAGATAACAGAAAATTGAGCCCTTTATGTAGGACCTCTCCTTCAATTGCAGTAGATCAAAACATGGACCTGCACACACACATGTTAATAAAGATTCAACACCCCCACCCGATTTCCCACATATTGATATCTAAGGGTCAAGCCCTTATATTTAGTCTGTGAGCTTTGGGATCAACATCCCAAAGTCTAACCCTTTTAGCTTCTACCTATCCTATGGCATCCGTCACTCCTCCTCCTTTTGTTCAAGGAGTCTCTTGCATGTCCTAAGTTGTCTTAGGGAACTTATATTTCCCCTACTCTCAGTCCTTGCATTTTTTCTCCTGCGGATAAACACACCCTTTGGTGCTTACGCGGTAGTCTAGCTGAGATCAATTCATGTCATTGGCGGTTTTTCCCTTAGGAGTTTATCAATGAATTGAGGCTACGCGGAGATTCTTCTTTTCTAATTCTTTGTCTCTACGGTATTTGCCTCCTATTTTGTTTCTTTGAGGACATCTAGAGTCACTCCCATTGGAGCACTCGTTCTTTCCTTTCTCTTTCTTGTCCTGACATACTCAAGTAGTAGGTTGATTCACCCGGGAATCTTCCACTGCTTGATCAATTCTAGACAAAATGGTTAGTTAAATGAGCATTCGAGTCGCCCCATGGGAGCACTCAGCCACTATTCAAAGTCCATGCAGTCCTCAGGCAATTACTCAGTTTAAACGATCTTATGCAATCGACCAGATAACTCATATGAGAGTATCCTTTTACAAGTTAAAACAAGTAGTTAAGAGACCTTTGTCGAACCATCTCAACTCTTGACTTGACATCCAGAAAATATTCCTGATCCGGGTATCAATACAGAATCCAAGTTAGTAATAGGTGGTCTTCACGGAAGCCTCCTATTACTCCTTGATCAAAACCCAACCTATCCTCAAAAGTGTAATAGGATGACCCCACGGGAGTTATCCTACCACGTGCACCTGTCCACCTGTCGCACTCCCAATGAGTTGCACAAGTCCTTTACACCGCGTAGACCGTTTGAAGGACTTAACCGGGATCAGATTCACAGGCTACCGCCCATTACCAGAGAGTTCACGATACAGCACAAGAAAGAGATAACCAATGTTGTTGAGAACCTCAGGAAGGCCCAGCACCGGATGATAGAGCAGGCTAATAAGCAGCGTCGCCCATCACAGTTTCAAGTAGGCGACTTAGTTTGGGTCAAGTCCAAAGAGTTTGCTCCTGAGGAAAACATCTCGCAGAAGTTACTGTCTGCGTACAGAGGACCGTGGCTAGTTCTAGAAGTCAAGGGCGGAGAAGATGGGTCATTCTACACTGTAAAGATTCCAGCACACCTCCACACCTACCCTGTATTTCATGCATCAAAGTTGATGTCGTGTGTCACGAGTCAACAGTTTCCGTCTAGGAGATCCATGATCCCCCTGGACATGGACGGAAGATACGACATTGACGGCATTGTAGGCTATGTTGCACGCTGGCCGCGGCCGGGTTCGGCCCAGGCCGGGACCCCCCCGGCCGCGGCCGGGCCGACCGAGAACTTTCGGCCGATGCCGCGGCCAATCGGGGAGGGGGTTTGGGGGGCGGGGAACGGGTTTCGA